AGTACCGCGACTCCGCGCAGCCCTGGGCCGACTTCCCGCTGCTGGGCGCCCGCGCCCCCGGCACGTACAGCTGCTACTGCCACACGCCGTCGGCGCCCTACGTGCTGTCGCAGCGCAGCGAGCCGCTGGTCGTCAGCTGGGACGGTGAGGGCCTTGCACGCGGCCCCGCCCTCCCCGTCAGACTAGGAGGCCAGCCCCCAGCCTCCTCCCGCAGACCCGGGAGCCCGGGCCCCAGCCCCTCCCCCCTCGGACCCAGGGGTCCAGGCCCGAGCCTCCTCCCTCAGACCGGGAGCCTGGGCCCCCAGCCCCTCCTCCCTCAGACCAGGAGTCCAGGCCCCCTGCCTCCTCTCTCAGACCCAGGAGTCCAGGCCTCCTCCCTCAGACCCAAAAGTTGAGCCCAATCAACTTTCCCTCAACTTTGAGACTGGGCCTTCGGATCCCCACAGAGTTTGGAAACCCAGAGTTTGGGCCCAGACTCTGGGGTCCGGGCACTGACAATCTCTCTCCTCCCGCCCCCCAGACTCTGGCTCCTCCGACTACACCCAGGGGAACCTCATCCGCTTGGGGCTGGCCGGCCTAGTCCTCATCGCCCTGGGCACGCTGGTCGCTTTGGACCGGCGCAGCCAGAACCGCTCCCCTGGTGGTGTCCATCCCTGAGCCCCGGGGGGACTGGATGTGCATGCCTGTAACTTGAGGAGACTTCCTGGGGAGTGGTGGAGGAGAAGCTGGGGCCTCCGGGGTCGGGTCGGACTGCCTTTTACCGGAGCCCACTTGCCCCCGACTCCCACTCCCGGCAGCCCTGCTGACGGAGCCCACCTTAGCCACCTTTCAACCCCGTGGTCTGCACTGTAGCTTCTTTCTGGGTCTTCCCCAGGGCCTCCCAGCTGAGCGGAAGATGCTGTCAGTGATTAAGGCTTTCAAGGAGACCTGGGTTCGAATCCCAGCGCTGCCACTCACGCACTGGGACCTTTGGAAAGCGACTTTTCCCAAGCCTCGATGCCTTCACTGTAAAACGGGTGCACTGATAATAACTACTTCACAGGATTGTTGTAGGAATAAATGGATACTACTCATAAGGCGTTTAAAACAGTGCCCGACCTGTAATAAATGCTCAATAAACGTTAACTACTGTATACCACCGATTTCTGCCAGAGTCACAGGACCGGACGGAAGTTCTTGTCTTCTTTCCATCACTGCGTGCACCAGTTCAAGGTGTAAGCAACTCTTCGTCATTCCCTTCATAACATCAAGCAAACCTGTGCCAGACTCCTCCTCAGACCTCCCCTAAGCTAGACCAAGACCAGACCAAGTAGATCTCTGTCCCTAATGACGGCTTTATTTGCACGCCGCTCTTTTCCTTGAACCTTCTTTAGCAGGAAGCGGTGGCGTCCGTTGCCAGGGCAACAGGAAGTGGCGCATGCGCAGTAGAGCTTTGGCCGGCTGCTGGTGACTACTTGGTCTATGACCCACTGTGCCCTTGGCTGGCCTCACAGCTGTAGTAAAAATAATGCAAGCCCTTCCATTCCGCAGCCTGTTTGCTCTCCCTGTTTGTCCTGCTTCCTCCTCCCCAAGGCTTGGCTGACCTACACGGTTTCTCCTGCATTTACTCATTTAACTTCTGTTTGTTATCCGGCTAACCTTGATGTCCATTCTCAGCCTCATACACACACCTGTCATGAAACGATCCTTGCCACTCGACATGTGTGTGTTCCTTTCTTGACTTATGCCCTAGTTTTCGTGAGGCACACATCCGCTTCTATTTTTATGAAGTTTTCTAACTCTCGTCTTCCCACTTTATAGAGAAGAGGGTGACTTCCAGGGTTAGGACAGCCCAGTTCTGCTTAGTCACCTAGAGCAGTGAACTGACAACTTCCTCCTCCTCCTCCCCCTCCTCCTTCCCCTTCCCCTACCCCTTCTCCTTCTTCCTCTACCTCCTCCTCCTCCTCCTCTTCTTCTCCTTTCCTTCCCTCTTCCCCCCTCCTCTCCCCTCCTTCTTCTTCCTCCCTCCTCCTCTCCCTCCTCCCTCCCCTCCTCCCTCCCCTCCTCCTCTACCTTCTTTTTTATCAGATTCTCTGTCGCCTAGGCTAGAATGCAGTGGCACATCATGTCCACCACAGCCTTGACCTGCTGGGTTCAGGCAATCCTCCTGCCTCAGCCTTGCAAATAGCTGGAAATACTAATTTTAAAATTTTTATTTATTTATTTTTTAATTGCACAGATGAAGTTTTGCCAAGTTACCCAGACTGGTCATGAACCCCTGGGCTCAGGCAATCCTCTTGCCTGGGTCTCCCAAAGTGCTGAGATTGCAGACATGAGCCACTGCTGGCCCTCTTTTCTCTTCTTTAGGCAGGGTTTCACTCTGTTGCTTTGAACTCCTAGACACAAGCGATCCTTCCGCCTCAGCCTCCTGAGTATCTGGGAAGGTGTGGGCCATCATGATCAGCTAATTTTTAACTTTTTTTGTAGAGATGAGGTCTCAATATGTTGCCCAAACTGGTGTTGAACTCCTGGGCTCAAGGGATCCTCCTGCCCCAGTTTCCCAAATTGCTGGGATTACAGGCCTGAGCCACCACCATTCCCAGCCTTCAATCTCCTTTTTCATTTTCACTTTTTAAAATTTTTTTGAATTGGAGTTTCACTCTCTTGCCCAGGATGGAGTGCAGTGGCATGCTCACAGCCATTGCAGCCTCGACCTGCTGGGCTCAAGTGATCCTTCCACCTCAGCCTTCGAAGTAGCTGAAACCACAGGCATGTACCACCATGCCCAGCTAAGTTTTTGATTAATTGTAAAGACAAGGTCTCACCATGTTGCTCAGATGTTGCTTGGCTGGTCTTGAACAGCTGAGCTCAGGCAATCCTCCCCAAGTGCTGGGATTACAGGTGCAAGCCACCATGCCTGGCCTTTTATTTTCACTTTTTAAATGAGGAACCTAAATGGGAACATTATCATATTTAGCATTTATCAAAGTGGTTTCTGGTTTTGGAGGCCGTGGTTCCTTTTATTTGTGCCCATAAATGCTCAGAGTTTCTGAGACAATTGTAATGAGACTGTGATGTGTCTGGTGTAGTGTCTCCTGCCTGTCCCCTCTTGCCTGGTCAACTCTACTCGTCCTTCATGTCTTAGAGTAGAGATCATTTCCCCCGAAAAATCCTGCCCGACCCTCCTGTGCTTCAAGAGAGCCTCAGCATACCCTGACTGAAGTTCTTCTCATGCTGAGTTAGGATTCTCTCTCAGTCTAGACCACGGGCTACTCTCATGAGGCTGCAGTTTCATCTCTATGCTTCAGAGCCTGGAGGTATTAGGAAATACACAACAGTCTGACTGGATGAGTTCTGCACACCAAAGGTCACACAAGCAGGAGTCACAGTTTTACCCTCTGATGGTGTGCCGGATAATAATGCCCAGCTGGGCATGGTCGCTCATACCTGGAATCCCAGCACTTTGGCAGGCCAAGGAGGGAGGATTGCTTGAGCCCAGAAGTTCGAGACCAGCCTGGGCAACATAGGAAGATCCTGTCTCTACAAAAAATTTAAAAATTAGCTGGGTGTGGTGGTATACCCCTGTAGTTTCAACTACTCAGGAGACTGGGGGGAGAGGATCACTTGAGCCCAGGAGGTCAAGGCTGCAGTGAGCCATGATCGTGCCACTGAATTCCAGCCTGGGAACAGAATGAGATCAGACTTAATAATAATACTAATTCCCCAAACTTGTGATATCCTAATTCCTGGAACCTGTAAATATGGTCTCTTACACAGCAAAAGGGACTTCAGATATGTAAGTTAAGAATCATGGCCGGGTTCGGTGACTCAGCCTGTAATACCAGCACTTTGGGAGGCCGAGGCAAGTGGATTGCCTGAGCCCACAAGTTCGAGCCCAGCCCAGGTAACTTGGCAAGACTTCGCTCTACAATAAATAAAAAATTAGCCGTATGTGGTAGCGCATGCCTGTAGTTCCAGCTACAGGCTGAGGTGAAAGGATCACCGGAGCCCAGCAGGTTGATACTGGGGTGGCAGTGAGCGTACCACTGCACTCCAGCCTGGGCAACAGAGTGAGACTCCAACTCAAAAACCAAAGTAACAAACAAAAAAGAATCATGATATGCAGAGATTATTCTGGATTATTCGGGTGTGTCCAATGTGATTATAAGGATCTTTAAAAAAGGGAGGAAGGAGGGTCAGAATCAGATAAAGTAATGCAACTATGGAAGCAGAGGTCAGAGTGGTGCCAGACCAGCAGCCAGGGAACACATGTGGGTTTCTGAAAGCTGGGAAGGGCAAGACATTAGAGTGTCCCCAGAGATTTCAGAGGGAACACAGCCCTGCCCTCCACTCTGGACTTGGACTTATTTTATTTTTTATTTTTGAGTCGATGCCTCAATCTGTCACCCAGGTTGGAGTGGACAAGAGTATGTCTCGAACATAAAATAAAAAGTGCTGGCTTTCTCTTTTCTGGTTGAATCAGTCAACCATGGCCTTGACTCGTCTTATATGTGTGAGCATGAGAGGGTATATGCCCTTAATGCACTGTTATCAACCATATCTTAATAATCCATCTCTTGGATGGGTGCAGTGGCTCAGCCTGTAATCCCAGCACTTTGGGAGGCCAAGGCAAGAGGACTGCCTGAGCCCAGGGGTTCAAGACTAGCCTGGGCAACTTGGTGAGACCTCATCTCTACAATAAACTACAAAAACTAGCTGGGCGTGGTGGTGTACATCTGTAATGCCAGCTACTTGGAAGGCTGAGGCAGAAGGATTACCTAAGCCTAGCAGGTCAAAGCTGCAGTGACTGTGAGCGTGCCACTGCACTCCAGCCTGGGCGACAAGAGTGAGATGCCAACTCAAAAAAAAAAAATCCATTTCTTGCTTTTTACCAGCAAAGTCAACTTTACTTTTCAGGCCTGCCTTGTGCTTGAAGGCTAACTAATGACATTTCAGAGTTTAGCCTTAAAATTTTAAGTCTTTATAGTTAAACAAAAGGAGTTAAGGATAAAACTAGGATGTCTTCTTTGCAGCTTTAGGGAAGAGGAAGAAGAGATAGAGTTAGAGACAGACAGACAGACACACACACACACAGAGAAACAGAGAGACAGAGAGAGAGAGAGAAATAGAAAGAAACAGGGAAGAGAGAGAGGAGTGAGAGAGAAAGAAGAGAGGGAGAAAGAAAGAGAAGAGAGAGAAACAGGGAAGAGAGAGAGGAGTGAGAGAAGGAAGAGTGAAAAAGAAAGACAGAAGAGAGGACGGCCTGGTGGCTCAGCATGTAATCTCAGCACTCTGGGAGGCCGAGGTGAGTGGATTGCCTGAGCCTTCGGGTTCGAGACCCACCGGGGCAACTTGGCGAGACCTCGTGTCTACGATAAATCAAAAAAAATTAGCTGGGCATGGCAGCATGCGCCTGTAGGTCTGGAAGGCTGAGGAGGAAGGATCGCTGGAGCCCAGCAGGTCCTGGCTGCAGTGGCCAGGAGTGGGAGCGTGTCACTGCACTCCAGTCTGGGTGACAGAGTGAGACTCCAACTCAAAAAAAAAAAAAAAAAAGACAGAAGAGAGAGGAGAGAAAGAGAGAGAGAAACAGGGAAGAGAGGAGTGAGAGAGAGACAGAAGAGAGAGTGAGAGAGTTAGAAACAGGGAAGGGAGAGGAGTGAGAGAAAGAAGGACGAGAG